GCGTTAAACTTTTTTGTTAAACATATCATTCGACTGGCAGGCCGGCAGCAAACAGGCCAAAAACCAAGCAAAACGCACAACCACACGCACACCCACACACACACACACATACACACATATGCATAAAAACGACGCGGGAAACACAAACAAAGGCATTAATCATGCCAGCTCGGGGACTAAATACATATACATACATAGAGGCAAGAGTTAGAGAGGGCGTGGCAGAGAAAGAGAGAGAGAGAGCGAGAGAGGGCTGTATCTGAAAAGGAAAAAAAATGAAGCGTAACAAAATCTTTATGGGATTTATTAAGCATTTGCTTCATTTCGCTTTGTGTCTATTGAGAGCCTCAAAAATGCTCAAAATCAATGTCAAACAGTGCAGAGTCATCTGTGTGGGTGTGCGGGTGTGTGTGTGAGTGTATGACAAACCATATAAAGCCCAAATATGAGTTCAACCACTCTCAAATACTCTTACCCTTAAACTAAATCAATTCAAAAGGAACTGCAAGGATATCTCTTTTTTTTATTTCTTATATAAAATCCAAGTTTACTTCCTAGAGAAAATTCAGCTTTATGTGAAAGCAGAGTGAACTTTGCAGAGTTAGGGTATTATAGAATTAGAGACTTAGTCCGACTTGCCACAGAGGTGGACGTCAAGGCCTGAAAGCGAATAGCGGAATGTTTTAGGAGTAGGGGCTTCCGCTGGTCCAATTAAGACCACGCCCAGGAAGTTGGGGGATGGGGGACAGACATCGACGCAGCTTAGCGAGCTGGGCAATAAGATCTAAAAGCAGACGATTCGAATTAGTGTACTTACGCCCTTTCAAGAGATGTATGTATGTACATGTTGAGTGAGTGTGAGTGGTGAAACAACAAGCAAAGGATGCTCGGGCAGGCACTGCTCGACCTGGCGATACCCTGACAACTACAAAGAACTTGCATTCCCATCGTTCATTTTTTGTGCTCAGATTGCAAATACTAAACAGACACATACACACACCACACACATATACACACAAACACATATCATCAAATAGGGGAAACTTCTTAATTGAATAACTTTTCGAACAGATAGCTGCGCTTAATCACTTTTGCACAGACAGCAATGATCTAGTATGTGAAATATGGGCTTCTCACACTTCAAGGGGAAACGAGAAGGGTATCTAAAATGCAAATATTAAATACACGGAGCTACACACTAAACCGACATTAAATTATCGACTTTTATCGATAATAAACATATAAGATGAGCTACCGAAAAAGTCTTTGGTTTTATGGATTTCAAGATCACAAATGGACGGCGCTGCTGACTATCCATTATTGATTATATATTATCGTTTATCGAGGATCGATTACCAGCTATTAAGTAGCAATTATTTATGATAGATTACCGACTATCGACAATCGATTAGTGACTGTTGATTGTCGCCTATTCATTATCGACTATCGAAAATTGCATGCTAATAATCGATTGTCAACAATACATAAACGACTATAAATGATCAATTACCGATTATAGACTGTTGATCGTCGACTACCTCTTATTCTTTATCGATTATAGACTGTCGATTATCAACTATCAATTACTGATTTTCTTATTGATTTTCTTATTATTATTATCGTCTATAGAGTAACGACCCTTCATTTTAAATTATCGATAATGGCCTATTAATAATCGACTATCGTTGCTGGGCTATCGATTAACAACTATCAATAGCCGATCTTCCACCGATTATCAACTATAGATCATGAAGTGCTTATTTTCGACTGTCGATTGCTGTATTTTAATTATCTATTTTTGACCGATAGTCAACAATAGATGATCAACAATAAACGATAGACTATTAATAGAGTGTTTGTCTGCTATAATTCGTTTTGATCGATTGTTGACTATCGACTACCGATTTATTGCCATCTATAGATTATCGACTATCGCTTATCGATTATTGGCTGTCGCTGCATATGCTGGTCTCTGACGTCGATAGACGCAATCGGACAGGTCGTCAGTTAGCTGGGCTTGGTCATGGTCAGGCGGGCATTTTGCTTTGTTATTTTCCCTAATTTATCTCACCCACTCCATATCTCTGTCTCTCTTTCGCACGCTCTCTGTCTTGCTGTAGCTTGTTTATTTAACAAAATGAAAACTTTTGGCCCGAAACTAGACCGCAATAACTGTAAGTGCTCAGCAAACAGTATCGCAAAAGCCCAAAAACTAACAACGCCAGCGACAAGTGTAGACACACAGAGACAAGCGCACACAATAATACGCACACATAAATATATATATTGAGGTACGAGTATATCTATTTATATAGCTCTACCTGGCCTTGCCCGGTCACTGGCACACACACACACACAGAGTGAGAGAGAGAGAGAGACAGAGKGAGAGAGAGAGAGAGAGATATACACCCGCCTCCATATTGGCGCGCTTGAATCATTCGTGTGTGTCGAGCGTCCTGGCCACTGGCAAATTATTATGATAATCGCTGGCATAACTTATGCGACATTTTTACAATATGACAGTTCGATGCGTGCGATTGCGTTGGCGCTGGCTGCTGCCTGCTGCTTGCTGCCTGCTGCCTGCTGCGTGTTGGGGTAGTCGCACCTATCGAGTGGCAACAACGTGTTGCCAAGGTGTTGCCGCGATTCATTCAGTCACTCTGTCGGGCAGCTAGTCGGGCAGGGGGAGGGGGGAGTGGGGAGTGGGCGGCGGCTGCCTTGGGGAAATTAAGTTTGTGTCATGTTTTGTGTCATTCAATCTCCCCAGACGGCAGCTGCACAGCCAGCAAAGCCGAGCAGAGCAGCCAAGCAGCCAAGCAGCCGAGCAGCCACCATACGGCGTCTGCGTGATGTGGGCCATATGCAAATGGCTGAAAGTGTTGCATACTTATTCGCGCGCGCGGCAAGTGCAGGCTGCAAGTGCTTGGGCCAAGTGGCAAGTGGCAAGTGGCAGCCACAGTGGGACATCGATAGATGCGCGTCAGCAAATGATTAACGCACAGTTTAAGTTTAGTTTTTATAGTCGATTTACGGTCAAGGGACAAGAGCGTCAGCAGGCCAAGGGGATTGCTTTTGGGCCGGCCAAGGCTGGGCAGAGCAGGACAGGTAGAATTACGCGGTGCTGCATGCAGAGTTTTTTTTAGGGGGAAATACGTTTTGCTACTGCCTCAATTTGATGAAAAACTCAATTGGAAAACAATTTGTAATTCGGATTAGCTACATCATTTGGAGAGGATGTCCGGACGGTTGAATGGATAGATGAGTGGATAGAAAAGGGAAGAATAGAGGGATAGATGAGCTACCTCATTGACAGATTGATAGACGCACTGATAGATGGTATAGGTAACAAGGTGAACAGTGAATAAGACCAAAAAGATATTTTCACAACGTAAACGAATAGGCGCATTATAGACTTGACCATGTAAATTCTAAACTCTGACTGTCCTAAGCTCAGAAAGCTTTCAAAGCATTAATAACTTAGGGCAAACAAATGTGGTCTATACCAAATACCGAGTTGACTATTTGAAATAAGTCAAATTGATCGATATTAGAAAATAATTAATATGATAGAAAAAAATACTGTAATAATAATAATAATATAATGGATAACTATATATATTCATATATTATTTAAATTAATAGAACCATATAGCAATTATCTCTTAGCTAAAATCTAAATCAGAATATTGATCGATAACAAAGTAGAGCTCAGAGGTATCGGAAAATAAACAGCAAAATTCTATGACGAATGAAACTAGAAAAAAAATATATACATAATTTTTAGCTTGCGATCTTCGAGATCATTGAGAATATAAAGACGAGAAAGATAGAGAAACAGATGAAGACGCAGAGACCGACGTGACGGGTGAACAAACTGACATAGCTAATCAACTCAGCTCGAAAAAAATTAAACATGCTTAAATATTTATCTTCTTCTTATTTCCATATAACCTATTTATATCGTAAAGCTAAAGCTTTTCTGGAGTCTGTGAGCCTTTCCTCCTGTTTATTCCACACACACCTCAGCAGAACCAATATACCCGGCCAGCTCACTTGCAATAGCAACAGGGTATAGTCAGACAAGGCCAGACAGAGATTGAAAAATGTTGATTATACTGTCATGGAATTTACTCAACAATTTCCATCTCAGCTGCATGAGAAATCAACTTATCTGCTCAAGGATTAGGGTGGACTGTAGAGCAATATGAGCAGGTTATTAGACACAGAACAAGCCAAGGCCAAGTATATTCTAGTCGGATATGCGAGGAAAATAATCTATAGCCCAAAGTGTTTGCTAGAATATTCAACTAGAAACCCAGCAAAATTTCACTCTGTTGAGCATATCTACATACATACCTATATACTATATATATATACAATATGTATGTATGTATATGCCTTATTAATATATGTATGTATATATTGACACATTGATATATGGATATCTGGCATATTTGCCTGGCACTTGCTGTGTCCCGCTTTATGACACTCGCTCCTGAATCCTGCGGGTCTTGGCTAGCTGAACGTCACGGGCTTCTGGTTGGGGCAATTTATCAAATATCTTATACAAAACTCTGTCGCCTGTCAGCGTTGATTTTAGCGCTTAGCGAGCACTACACTCGCCCCCATTTCTCTCTGCCCCCTCTGTGTGTGTGTGTGTGTGAGTGTGACAGGCGCGTGTTGACTGCGTGAATATAAAACACACCTGTTGCCAGGGCCCCGGGACGCGTACGTGCACGGCGAGTCGACATCGTCATTTATATGACACATGAGGTGCGTCCTTAACCCCAACTACCAATGGGCTACACTCCCGCCTCCCGCCTCCTGCCTCCTGCCTCCTGCCACCCGCTCCTGCTCCTGCCCAGCCCCTTCCCGCTCAAATGCCGCCAGCACCATCTCCTGCTGCTGTACTTTGAGGGCACAATAAAACACAAATAAAGTGTGCGCGTCGGGCGAGTGTCACAAAATGAACATGGCTGAGCGTATTATTTTTATTGCAGCGTGTGGATTGCAGCCCCTGACCAACATGCAACATGTGTCAGCAGCAGCAGCAACAGCAGCAGCAGCTACAGCAGCAACAGCTACAGCAACTAGGGAAACTGCCTCGACATCTGCTCGAGCGCTTCAAGTGCTAAGAGACTTTCAGCCAAGCACCGAAGTTCGTTGGACTAAAGTAGCATAAGAAGAAGAAGAAGAAGAAACAGCAAGAAGAAGAAGGACAGCCGGAAGAAGAAGGAGAAACTGAGAATTTGACACTGCGATTGCCGCTCGTTCCACTCAATCTCCAAGGTATTTCCAGGTAAGCCCCACGTATCACACCCATTGTAAATACACATACATGTATAAATATAAATATATACATATATCTTTATATACTAATCCAATGTTCTAATTGCACGCAAATTCAGTTTCCATTCATATACATTATGCATAAGCCAAGCCAAGCCTAGCAGAACTTCAGCTAGTTCAGCAACTCGTTTCCCCCCTTCCCCCGCTCAGTCAACGATTGTCGATTGTCGGATGTCAGCGCACTGACAACAACAACAAGCARCAATGAGCCACAACAACAACAATCAATCAAAAACAACGTTTACCATAAATTTAACTCAAGCAATTTGCTTAAAATTGCTCGAATTCTTTACTTCGATCCACCCTATTTGATGGGATTGTTCAGAGAATAGAAGAGCTCAGTTCTTTTCCTTTGGGCTCATACATCAACAGCTTATAAGCATTAGGAAAAGTAAGCATACAGATATATCAGCTATCACTTTGCAACATTCTCTATCATCTCTCTCTATATAGTTCCAAAAATTACTAGAATTACTTACCCCTTGATCACTTCCTCAAGACTTTTCCAAACAAAACATTCCTAAGGGAATTGCATATAATAATAATCATAATAATAATCTTATATACATATGATATATATATATATATAAATATATATCCCGAACTTTTAGGTTTTATACTATATTTACTATGGAAATATATATATAGGGTATTTATTGTTTTATGAGAATATACATACATGTATATGTGACTGTTTGTCTGGGACCGTACGCAAATAACCGTACGAACGGTATAAGCGGAGGCATTATAAGCGGATTCTACATTTATCAAGATCATACACAAGATGACACTTTTTTAATTTCTGATATGGCAGGATACTTTTATTGAGCATACGACAAGGTACTTCTCTCGACGATTTTCAATGTAAAAGTTAAGTTGCTAACAGACATATTCGATGTTTTTTTACCTTACAGATTAGATCGATAAAAACTTAATAATATTTACTTTTGCAGGAGCACTTTTTTTTTAAATCCCTAAAGCTTATAAAGAAGTCAACCATTTGTCAGATATTCTCCTTTGATGTTGTCTTTATATAATATTAAAATATTTCAATTCTGTTCGGTTGCAACATAAATGCAGAGCTTGACTGGAAAGTGGAGGGGGAAGAGTGGAGAGTACTCTATGTCTGCTCACCTAATCTCATAATTCACTTAATCACGAGCGTCGCTCAATTCACTCAATCCTTCATCTCCTACATGATTGGCGTGTAGAGAGTAAGTTCCGTCCCCTCACACAAACTCATAAATGATATAGAACTACTCCCGTAGATCTAATTCGATTCAATTGGAACTCACTCCCATACTCTGTTCTCTGCATTCCACTTCAGCCTGTTTCATTTCCCATACATTCCCAACCAATTCATACAGAGATCATCGCATCTCTCTCTCTCTCTCTCTCTTTCTCGCTTTGGGATTAACTATCCTGTTCCGCCCATTTAGTGGGCATTGTTTCGCAAACGATTTGCATTCAATTCAAACATATTTCAGAGGCCGCAATTATTTCCAGCATTTTATTTTTATGGCTGGACGTTTGCTTTACAATTTGTTTCCATTTTTGATTTTTCTCCTTTTCCTATTTCTTTTTTTGTTTATTTGTGAGCAATGATTTGATTTGCGACAATGGCTATCAAAGCGTCAACTGTAATGTGTCTTGGGCATTGGGCGCTGATACAGATGATTGGTATGAATGCTGCCAGCTGCCAGCTTACAGCTCCTGCCAGCTCCTGCCTGCTCCTCTGAGCTCCTGCCAGATTCTGCGAGCGCCTAACTCCCCATCTATTTACAGCTTTTGTTTTTATAGCAAAGTGTACGCTTCCGTTTCCGCTAGTCTCTGTCGTTCTCGCTCTCTCGCTCTCACTCTCACTCTCTCTTTCTGTCTCTTGTTGCTGCTATTATCTGCGCCCTTCATCTCAATGGCGCTGCCGTTCCGGTGTTGAGGGTCGTCGTCGTCGTCGTCGTTGTCATTGTTGTTGTTGCTGTTGTTGTTAAGGCCATTGTTGTTGCTACTGCTGCTGTTGCTGCTGCTGCTGCTGCTGCTGCTGTTGTTGTTGCTGTTGTCATCACCGACATTTAAATTACATAGCTTCGACATGGTAGAGGGCCCGCATTCATTCATGAGCTTGTTCCCGCCAGCTATTTTTACACGCAATTTCTTTGACTTTGCCGCCTTTGTTCGCTTTCTTTACTTACACAAATTAAACTAGAATCTAACTGCGGATACTTGAAGGCTTAATACATACCAGCACCCACCCACACCCACCAACACACACACACACATAGGCGCACGCTTGCGTACGCACACTCATACACAGATTGATAGTCGTATGGAACGAATCCTGAGAAATCGTCAGAGCAAAACTATGATAACACGACTCTACAACACCGAGGAGGATCCCGCCTATTGCTCCGTCATCTGGGGTGCGAATCTAACCAGCAGCAGCGACCTCGTCCTGGGCACCGCCACCAATGCCACCCACATTTACGCTAACGACTTGCGAGACGACCTATATGCGGTAAGTGAAATCTCTCAGCCTCAGTTCCGCACCCAAGCGAGGGGTACTCCCACAATTAGCATAATAATCACATCAAAAAGCAAACAGTAAACGGAAGCAAATTGCTTAGTTTCGGTTGGTTTTTTTATTTATTTATTTAT